ATACCCCTCATCTCTAAGGTTAGCTCAGTGGCACAGCTATGTTGATAGAAGAGAGATATATGACTCTTTTACTTACCGAAAGATCCAGCATTCCATTCTTGTGGACAAAATTATTGGTTCCATCGATGTGATCTGTGTCCTCCAAGCAGCTATAATTGATGCAGGAGTCAGTCAAACTCCGTGGGAGGTTGGCACATGCCAGTGGTTCATGGGGCATCTCTGGAATAGGTACTTGATTGCAGAGTTTTCGCATGTGCTCACTGAAGAAATCTGCATAGCCCACATTGAATGAGGCTAATGTGGTGTTGAAAGTTGCCACTGTAATGGTGGAGATTTGGGAGCGTACTGCAAGAAAAAAAATATGTGTCTTGGCAATTTGATTCTAATGATGCAATTATAAAATTAAGGCTGTAGCTATTGTGGCATTTTACAAGGGCTGTCTTTCTTTCCTGAATTCTGTACAGCACTGAAATGAAGAGAGGCAAAGGCAGCTTCATTCTTTTTGAAGTTCTATCTCTGGTCCTCAGCACAAAATTAGAACTGTAGATTAAAATTGCAGCAGCTTGAAACAATCCCGTAGGTGTCATTATCTCAACAGAAAATAACTGGAGAACAGTTTGCCTCAGACACTTCCCATAATTCTTTGAAATATCCCTAAAGCAGGGGCTGTGAAAAAAAGAAGTGCTGTAGATCCACTTTGCAGGCTCAATGTCTCCACCAGGGTATCTGAATAGCATTCCAGGTGAGTTAGTTAGCACCACTGTCAGTGGCAGAGCTAAACAGCCCATTTATGACACCTCACAGACATCGCTACAATACTTCTGGGTAAGAGGCAGCATGCGGCAAGCAGCATGACATGTCTGGAGGTGCCACTACCTGGTAATTTTACTGTGTACACATGGCCTAAGGGATTTTGGTCCTATTAATTTGCTGTTCTAGAGGCTGATCTTTAATTTTGTGTTAAAATAGGTAGCCAGTGCTTTCGGGACATCAAAAAAGGAACATATAGTTCTAATTTCAAATAAACCAGCTTTCTCTTTTCTGTTTTTCAGAGCAGTTTAGTTTGCACAAATCAATATCTGGAACTTTATTCTTCTCTAGCAGTCTTCAGGCATATCAATAAAACATTCTTCATCCTGGAAGTCACATGAACCTTCTCAGGACCAGATTATGGAGGAAAATTCTTTTTAAAGATGCATTTAAAAAAAGCCCATATTTTTCAGAACATGTGGCCATTACGTATTACTTCAGGTATAGGTGACGATTTTAAAAAACACATACAGAACAAAGTTCCCAACCTAGGGAAAATAAAATGACATCCTGTACTGTATCTTTCTTTACTTGTATTATCTTACCATATGACTTACTGACCAAGAGCTAAATGGTTTGTGGGTCTGTGGAGATAAGGGAGAATATAAACATCCATCATTTATACCTTACATGTAAGTGCCTGTTACTCCCCTGGATCACGTGGGTAGGGCCTAATCAAAGCATGGTCTCTTCTTTCCAATGTACCAACAAGCAGAGATGAGGCACTGCAAGGGTGGACATAAGTCAGCAGAAAATTATTTCCCAACTGCAGTGAACAGAGAGCAGAGAGGGAATTATGGCTGTACAACACAGCGTCACTTAGTATAGGTTGTGTCCTTGTGGCCTCAAAATGGTCAATGGGATTATTTGTACAGGTGCTATAAAATCAGGCCTGGAGTGCTCCAACTTAGGCAACTACAATATAGAGAAGAGATGTAACCATATGCTGGGAATGGCAGACACAGACCACTGGCATTCTGGAAGCATGGGAGTACTTTGCTATTCTCTACATGGAAGGCAGAAGGGGTGAAGCTATGTTCTCTGTCTGCTGCAGGAGCAAAGGGGACTGGATCAATGTCTGCATCTTCTCACTCAGCGCAGCAGCAGCTATGTCCTTGCTGTAGGGCTGGAGACACCAGTGCACCTTAAAAAATCTGCCTTCTTCCCCCCCAGATGGGGACAGCAGACAGCTCAGTCTGATCTAAACACTATGCTGATAGAATCCAGCTTTCATCAGCTTAGTTTATGTCGTTCAAAAAGCTGGTATAGCAACATACCAGCAGAAAGCTCCTTATGTCTCCATGAGTCAGCTCTGATTGCACAGCTGTAATACAGACAGCAATAGCGTAACTAGCATAGACTGACTGGTCATCAAGTCTGGGGGTGGGGGGCATAGAAGTATCAGCTGCTGCTGCAGCTGCATGATTGCAGTGGCGCCATGACACCACCCAGAAGTTGCTGCTGTCCCCATGTATCCTGTTGTCCCAGGTGCCCAGCTGCTTTGTTAAGGACCATAGCTCTCAAGCTTAAAATTAATGTCATGTGATTTAGTTTCAGCCCTTTATTTGAAATGATGGGGACCAAATGAACTAAAAATAGAAAGAGCAGGAGTCTACTGAGTGTTGTGTATGCCCCCCATGGCTTTTGTAGAGGGCCCTGAAAGGTATGCTCTGGTTCAGTGGAACAGGAAGCCACCAGGAAGATTAGAGCACACATGGGGCCTTCAGTAAGCAGAGGACACTTTGCTCCACATCTACATCTCAGCTGACCACAGTGGAGCAGCTGAACAATGTGTTCAGTGTTCCAGTAAGATTAGATGGGGGTTGGTTTGTTGCAGTGCCATCCAGAAAAAAGAGATGCAACTCCTATGGCCAAAGCCACTGAAAAAAAGATAGGTATTTGTGACAGGACCTGTGCCCTAGGGGTGGCTGTGACACCCCCTGGTGGACATGTGGCCCTTGCTTTGGCCCCTTGGGGTAGCCTTCCCGGTTATTTTGCCTTGATATTGCTCAAAGCGTTGGGAGGCTGCCCCAAGGTCTCAGAGTGGGTCCAGTCCACTGCAGATTTGCCACTTGGGCACTCAGTTGTGGCCCTTCTGGCCCTATTAAGGCGATAGGGCACCAGGGGCCTTATAGGCCATGTTCGTAGCCTCTGCGTTCCCCTATAGCCATACCCATGCCTTCCAGATGACACTCCAGACTTCTTCACACTGGTTTGTACAGGCTTTGGTCGTCTTCACTTTGGCCTGCTGGTTACTCTAGCTGCAGACTTGTAAGCTTGGGCTCACCCACACTGGTTGGCACCTCAATCCCATCCTTATCATCAATCACTATGTGGCCCCTGTCATCCCTCTGGGCTCAGGCACTAGCCTTCTGAGATCACGTGTATCTGCTTTTGGGGTCTGGTTTTAGGTCCCCCTTCAGCTTCCACTTGTCTCTGTTTCCCAACTCAGGATCCAATTCAGACATGCCCCTCCCCCCAGATCTGAGAGTGGTTTGGGAGCCTGTCAGGGTATCTCCTGCGGCACCTCTCTCCTAGGAACTTTACTCCCTACAACACACAGTATCAGACTACCTGCCTTCCTCCAGGCACTGGGTTTATATGCTCTGGAGCCCTGCCCCTTTTGGTCAAGTGACTCCCTAATAAAGCACAAGGGGTTTTCCTTTTGCTTAATAGACAGCCCGCCCCTCCCTGCTACAACTTAACTCTGCTGCTTGCAGTCCTTATTTTTCAGCTGCCTTGAAATCTGCACCCCTGATCCAGCTCTTTGCAATGCAGCTAGCTTTGGCTCAACTGCCTGCCTATACAGCAAGGGCTAGCCTGCAATCCTTTCCCCATTAAGTAGCAGGGGTCTTTGGCTCCCTGTTACATATTATATCAGGCCAAGGATATGCAGTAGGGGTTTTTTAGGAACAGAATGGCTTTCTGTTACTCAGGCTTTGTACTTAGTGGTTATGCCCAAAACCACTTGGTTGCAGCTGAGGTCTGGTATCTATGCGGTAAGAAGTGCTGTGTAGCCAGAGCTCTCTATGAGGCAAAATTGTCCAGTGTGGCCTGTAACTCAGATCAGCTGCTGAAAGCCACATTATTTCCTCCCATTAATTAAAAACTTATTTTTATCCTGAAATAGGTCAAAAATGGGTCAACCTTTTGGAGAACATTTTCACCAACACTGCATCCTCCTTTATTTTCTCCCATCAGAATTTCAGTGTAAGATGCCATTAGAATTCCACATCTGGAAATTGTTTGACTAGACTATTTTACTCTTTTCTGAAAACTCTGACAGCTGGTCCCCCTAACAGACACAGCAGCTAGCTGAGCACATGCTAATAAAAAAACACAGATCTTTGATAGTGTGATACATTCTCACCTTAAGGTGAACCATACATCACCAGTATTACTGAGAGTGGTCACTAACCTAAACATTTGTATAGAAAAACAGCCCCTTCTCTTCTGAATGTTAAAGGGTTTCACAGGAAGAATGTAAAGTAGCTATTTTGGGACCTAGCTTGGGATTTTTGTCTGCCTTCCTTCTCTGACACAAATTTCCTTAAGACTCTTAGGCAAATCACTTAGGGTCAGATTTTAAAGGTAATTAGGTACCTAAAGCTTTTAAAAATCAAGCTCTTAGCCTCTGTGCATCTTAGTTCCCCTTGGTAATATGGGAATAATAATCATCTCCCTACAACAAAGAGGTGCTGTGGGGATATGTTCATTAAAACCTGTGAATAGTTCATGCACTGGGAATAATGAAGATACTGTACTGCAGATAGATAAATGGGAGTTTTAAATCTTTTCTGCATCTGGTTAAAAGGAAAGCAGCAGTTCCCCATGCTTGATTTTGCCATCAAGGCAGTAGAATAGCTCTTTATTAACAGCACCTTCCTTACAAGGCTGAGCTGTCTTGTAGGGCTTTTAAAATTGCACACTTAGAAAAAAGTGACAATGCTTTTGTCCTGTTGGTAGTCACTTCCCTTACTGAAACAGCAGGAGCATAGTGCTGATGGTCTGGCCATATGCTGATAAGAGCGATTATAATCTGCCCATCTTCGTTGCCTTTGTAGTTTGGCAGGATACTGCAATTTGATTAACTTCCATAATTGGCAAGTCAAAGTATTCAAAATGTTAAGTCAAGTTCCAAAAAAACATGGAGCCTTTCCTTTCTTCTAGTCTTGGAGCTCTTGTTGTTTGCCTTTTGATTTTTGAGTCTTTAGGGTTTACATTGTTACAAGGTTTAAAGCTTTTCTCCATAACCATCTCAGGGTTAAGGAAATTTATTTATATTAGGTGCAAACTGAGATTTTCACAAAGTCTCCTAATTCCAGCAGTTGGAAGTTTAAGAAAAGCAAATACTGAAAATGCATAATAATAATAATAATAATAACAAAACCCATTACTGCTGATTTCTAACCCCATATTTTTGTGCCATGATGTTGTGCACTGTTAAAAAGGTGTTGTTTGCCATCCCAGAGGTGGCTGAACATTCTTCAGTGAAACTACTAGATAAGTCTAAAAGACATTTATGATTATCCCAAGTAAATAAATAATTAGATATATAGAAGAACAGAAATTCTAAAGTGAGATTAACCTAATATTCATTAAATGAGAATGCCAACATCATCTCAGCCCCTTGCAGCTAATACCTCAATGAGACATTTGCTCTAGTTGTACTTAATTTACCTTCTTTGACTGTATTCTCTCCATGGCTGTTTGAGTGGTCAGGCAAATCAGTGACGAGAGTATGATGAGAGTGTGAATGCCTAGCACTCAGGCTCTCCATCTCCGTAGGCGTGTCAGAGCTTCCCCGTCTGGTAAACTTTCCTATAGACAGCATAAGAAATAGACATTCAAGGCCAGATTCTTTTCCACATATTCAGCATCTAACTAGTCAACCCTGCTCAAGTCCCTGAAAAACCACAAAGCACAAAGATGAATATGTCTTCTTCTACTTGCTATTTGTGACAATTTTAAGGCAAGGATGACAATATGTTACAAAAGTAAATGTGACAACAGTCTGGTAGATGTTTAAGTAGGATGGAATGGGCTCACATGTACACACCTAGAACACAGAATAGGAGCTGCTCCTCAGTTTCCAAGTGTAAGGATTGCTCTAGGAGTCTCTGCAATGGAAACTGAAGTAGGAGGATGGGGTTTGTTGAAAGAAGCACGAATCTAAGACCATCAGAAAAAAAATTGAAGCAGAACAACCAAACTGTGAAATACTTACATGATAGACTGGGAAGTCTGCCTTCCTACAAACTTATGAATTCTGATTGTTTTTTATTAACTCTGTGGACAACTCTAACCCACAATGTTTATTATGTCTGCTGCCATGGATCGTGTCACATATTGTATACTCTCTTGTCATGCATACACATATTTAGAACAGCTTACATGCAGTTTAAACCTTAAGTGGGCCGACATACAGTCCTGTTAAACTGGTTAAAATCCACCTAGAACCAGACCTAGTTCAAAAGTGTACCTAGATAATCAAGTGCTATTTTGGACTGGTTCAGTGTTATGTGTGGATACCAAGTTTTCTGTGACACAGGTCTGGTGAATCCTCCACACATCCTACATTGCATTATTCCTCATGCTCTTCCTCTCCACTCCCCCAGCACATACAAACTGCTACAACTGGCTGCTCTGGTATGTAGCCAGAACTCTACTGTCCCCTTTGTTGACACTTAAAAAAAAATCAATGAGCTCCTTTACGCTGCTTGTTCAAAAAATGCTATCTAACAATCAGCTGTGTTTTCATTCCCTATTTGATCTCAGCCCATCATTGTGCCCTCCAGTCCCTACGAACCAAAAAAATAGGTACAACCACTTACGTCAAGCAAGCACATTGCAGACTTTGGTTATATGCAGCTATGGAAGGCTACTGAATTCATGCTTAGGAAACAAGGGAAAGCAGAAAAGTGACAACTCCTACAGCTATAGGTCACTCATTGTCAGTCTGTGATCTCAGCCTGGCAGCACAGCCACTCATTGTGGCCAGCCACCCCACAGTTGACCACCCAGACTGAGCAATGCTGGCCTGAAGCCTCCACCAGGGGCTAGCCCTCTGCCCACTTCCAGTCACCAGAGTGGGCAGTCAGGGTCAGCTGACTCACCTTCCCCCATAAAAGCTCCTGAGCAGAAACAGGAAACGGTCCTTATAACAGGGTTCAACCTGATCACAGACCAGTTTGCTGTTTCCTCCAACTTGTGCTCTGACTCCACTCTCTGTTTGATCTCCCAGCTTCTTGACCTGGCTTGCTCTCTGACTCCACTCTCTACCTTATCTCCTGATTTCCTGATTCAGCTTGTTCCTAGACCTTGCTCTCAGACTCATCTCCTGGCTTCTCCCTAGATTCTGCTCATTTCTCTTGAACCTGCTTGGTACCTCAATTCCTCAAGTGGCCCCAGACCTGGCCACCCAATATTAATGGCTCACAAAGCTGCTACAGGGCCATCAAAAGAACCATTAATGTTGACTGGTTCTTCCTTGATAAAACAACAGATATACTGAAGAGATTGACCGAGATAAAGGAAGCAGGTTTCTTCCCATGTTGTTTGAAGAGACATAAGAAGATATTAGAAACTGCTGTTAAAAAAGGAGTGCTCTTTCTGAGCTAGGGTGAACCTGGGGACTATTGGACTTGAACAAACTAAGTAGAGTTATTTTCAGGATCAGAAAGAGACAAACTGATATTTAAGAAGTCAGACAAGAGGATGTAGGGCCCTGAAAAGATTGAGCAAACCCCAAATGGCTCTTGGAGTGGTGAAAACATTGGAGGAAGGAATTCTGAATGGAGGTTTAGTCATTTTTTTCATGAGTCTGCAAGTCTCTGTTTTTGCCTACAAATAAATATGGACACTGAAGACGTTATTTTGCAAAACTTCTGAGCTCCTTGTCACATATGCCTAAAGGGTTCAACTGTAAACTGGAGTACTCATGTGTGGAGCTCAAAGTAACCAGGGAGAACTGAGAAGCTGACCACTGGGTGCCACGTCCAAGAAAGAGCATCAAACTGCACTGCAGGAGGCAAGCAACTGGGCCTGGATGCTGCCCACATTCAATGGGTTTAGAAGCTTGCCAGATTCACTGTTTGGACCTAAACACAGTATCTGATAAGTATCCAGTGGGGCAAGATCAGAGAGATGCTGTAACACCTTTCTCAGTTTGCATACCACTCTTTTTCTGGCAAGACTTCCACCGCAGCCACAGGTAAGAAAGGGTTGGACTCTCTTGGGATATTTTTGGTCCCTGTTACATATACTTGTCACAAACAAACTGACCTAAACATAGTATATGAGGTCAGCAGTCAGCATAACTATGTCACTTCTGTAATAGGTATGCAATCCTGCAGGTGAGGGCAAAGGGCATAAGTGGACAGTCTGAACACCTGAGAAGTGGAGGAATAATAAGTCTCTGCCATCATTTGAACATTCTGGAGGAGAATAACTCATCAAAGTTGGGGCTGAGAGTGTCACCTAATATGGTGGTCTGCCATCCTCCCCTCTCAATGCCACGCCGATCCTCCCCAATCCCGGAGAAGCTGCCGAAGGAAAATGTGCTGCGAGTGGGCGACACGTCCAGATGGTCCTCATGAAGGAGAAAGGGCACACCCATTCTTCGCTGACGTTTTTTCCCTGTGTGGTGGTAAGGAATTGATCCCTTGCGCTCGCGCTCCCTATCTTCTTTGCGGCTCTTGAACTGCAGAAGAAAGAGGTGGAGTAGGTTAGAGTCAGCCAGAAGCTGAAGAGAATCTGACTAGTTACAGAGAAAGGACAGAAACAGATGCAGGAAAAGCCTTTAGGACCCACCTCAGACTCCCCACTCAAACTCTGTAACATAGCCTGGTCATAGCCCTGATGGGTATTGGTACTCTGACACAAACTATATGTTAAAGATCCAGAGTACCTCATGTTGAGCTGACAGCCAGATCTTTACTATGGTGACTACTAGGGTAGGGATTTATTGCCCTAATGTACATCTCCATTCATATCTACACCTTCCTATAAACAACCTCAGACTTTTTTATTTTAAACATTTTATTATTACATTTGTCACTATTATTATTCTGATTGCTCTTGAACCTGCATCGGTGTCTTCTGTCTTTCCCCACATCTTTTCCTGTGTTATTATGCAGGGAATCAAACAATCTTTTTTGATTTAGTGCTTTTTGTTTCATCACAAGATGGGATTTTAATTTGTACACTCTTCAAAACTGTACTAAGGACCTCAATAGTGGAGTGCTTTAAACAAAGACACAGATACTTTGGTGGGGTAAAAATCAGCTTAAATTAATTGAAATTGAGAGTGCTACTCTGATTAATATTATTTTGAGGATCTGGTCACAAAATTAACTCCCCTGTGGAAAAAACAAAAACAAATTGATTGATTTCAGTAGCATTTTTATCTGAGTAAAGGTTTCAGTCTGGGACCATATAGAAAATATGAATACATTCATGCCCAGATAGACGTTTCCTTCAGAAGAAAGCAAATTCAAATCCCACATTCAACCTAACCACAGAGTCAGTACAGGCCTTTAAGTATTATAGATGATGATACTGTAATGTCGTTAGTTATAATTCTTATCACCTTCTTAAAGATGTTCATTCCCAGGTCTGTGGAGAGATCTGGAACTGCAGGCCTGCGTAGGTTGGTCAGTGACACCTTGGAAAAGGCCTCAGTGCTGAGTGATTTTTCTTCTTCATTGCATTTCATTGTGAGATCCTTCAGCCACCACAAGAAAACAGTACAACAAAAGAAGAAATAGCTGATAAGATATCCTATATCCACAGATCACCTATGCTAGGAGACAGCTACAAAGAAAGACCATAATTTCATCAAAAAATATTCCCATATGAAGATAAACGAGATTTCAAAACTTCTGTTATTTTGGCTGTGGTGAAATATTTGATCATTATACCACCAGAAAAGGCATCAATTATGAATGATGGTCCAATAGATAGGGCAGTAGGCAGAAGTCAGGAAATTTGATGTCTGTTCCCTCCTCTGCTACTAATACATTTTCTAACCTTGAGCAGGTCAGTTCACCTCTCAGAGTCTCAGTTTTACCAGTATATATTAGTTGTGGATAGTTATTATTACCTTCCTTTGAAAAGAGTTTTATTTAAGAGTCAAGTACATACTGGGCGCATCTACACAAGACCTTTACTGTGCAGTAGACTAATTAGCTCTGGAGTAAACATTGCATATCTACATGTGTGCCTCTATTAGGCTGGAGTAAACTAATTTACTTTACAGCAGGATTGTATTTGTAAATAAAAGTACTATCCTGCTGCAGAATAAAAAATTCAACTGCTCCAGTTGAAGTCAACAGAAATAATCAAATTAGCTGACGTATGCAGACAGTTAAGTTTCTGGCAAGACCAAGCTATTGAACGTGTGACACCACCCCGAAAAATGCGATAAATAGGGCATAATCCTGGTCCTGAGTTCCCTCTACTCTCAGTAATATCTCTGGCTGCCACTTCAAGTGATAAGCTCTTGGTTTATGAAATGCTTTGGGTCCTTTTAGCTGGTAGACACTAGTGCCTTTTGTAGGCACATTCACTGTTTTCTAAATTCTGTGAACCAATTCACATCACACAGTTTGAATCAAATCTCAATTTGAATTTCAATTTGAATTAAGAGTTAATAGTTCATCACTGACCATCAAGGAGGTTTTTGTACATTTCTGCACTTGTGCAATAGAGGTGGCAGGGGGCACTAGACACTGCTCACCATTCACAGTCAGAGCCACAAACCTGTGCTCACTTGCTACACCTGGTGGTGGGCATGAGCAAGAGTAAGCCCTAGATACCTGTGAGATATACAGGTTAATTAATACAGTTTAAAGTGCCTAGTTTGGACTGCCCTCGTCTGCATTAACTTTAATCCTCATTCAATGAGAATTACCTAATTCACTCTAGAGCCAATTTTAATAAGGACTACAAATGTTCACATGTATATTATGATGGCTGTAGTCTGGATTAAACCTAGAAAAACATAACATCTCTAAAAGGCCTAGAAAATTAAGTCAGGATTGTTATTGCGCATCAATAACTAAATCTCTGTACTACTACTTGTGCTGAGTTAGCCAAAAGCACACAACAGGATTTGGGTCCAACCATGCTAGCTGGCTGCTACACAGCACATAAGACAGAGCGTCTGCCCTGAGGAGGATTTGCCTAATAAGAAAAATCAAATTAGTACAGAGGATTGTACTATAGATCTTTTTTGCTGTCCTCCTGCATGGCTATAACTACCAGCCCATTAATATTTTTGTGACCTTCCAACTGTTATCCAGTTTAAATTAGCATGGCATCCAGTCATTACAGCCATACTAGTCTTATGTTTAATTTAAGCTTTCATTCTTTATCTCTGCAGTGTTACTGCAAGGCCGCAGAGATTTTGTGTCTTGGTTCTGTCCCCTATGCTGGATTTACTGCATACAGGTGCAATGCAGGTTTTTCTTTTATATTGCTTTGTTGGTATTGAAACAAGTTTCAATGAGAGTCACCAACTAGAGTCATGAAGAAGGTATTAATTTGACTCGTATTCCATTTAGTAGCTCTTCTGTTATGCAACAGGGATCATGATACATTTTCAATTTCCTGCTGAATGAGATATTTTCTAATATATATTTCAGTTCACTAGACAGTGAACTAGAAGTGTTTGTATGCAACTGTATACTCATTTGATCAGAAATAATTTGCTGTAAAATTATATTTTAAATTTGATATCACATATAAGCAGTCAGTGTGACAAATGTGCTAAGGTTTAAAGAGATGGAAGAAATTATGTGGTAAACCCACATTCTTCCTATATACTTTGAAGTTCTTTATTAAATCTCTTTGCCTGCCCTGAGTTGATTTCTTAGAAGTCATTTCTTCTGCAGTGTCTAATATCAGATGACAAAGACAAAAACAATTGAAGAGCAGAGATAAAGTATATCATCAACTCTGGTGCTGTTTCTGCCACCTATTTTGCTGCATAAAGCCCCAAATAAAGGGAGCCATGAACTCAGAACAAGTTTGGGGCCGCTTGTTCAAATCTGTTCATTTTGAGCGCTGAGTCCTAATACTTACTGCGTTTTATTTTCCATTGCAAAAGTTATCATTGGAATTAAGTCAATCAAGAGAGCATGATGACTATGCCACTACCTTGCTTTTTCGGGCTCGTATCATGGCTCCATAACAAAACACTGATTTCTCAGTTTGCAAATCCTTAGTTCGAGAAAAAGAAAGACCAAGCAGGCAGAAAAATAAAGAAAAGTGTGACTCCTTCCATTTCTCTGGCTGAAAACCTTCAGCATATCCTATCTGCCTCTGTTGCTCATGCTCTACTGTAATGTTTACTTGCAGTGCATGATTCAGGGACTAGAGGTCTCTGTGCGCTGTAGAGAGTCCCAGACAGGGTGTGGTCCCTGACAAATACATGAAACAAAGCTGAAACTCCAGCTGTCTGCAATACCGTTTTGTCTGGAGTCATAGAAGTTTAAAATGGACTGGAATCCACAGAGAATACAAAATGGATGAGATTGACAAGGAGTTCTTGCAACAATGACTAAAGCAAATGCCCAAAGCACAGGATTTTAAAAGCAGTTACATTTACCTGTAAATTACCAAACGTATTTTACAAGCAGGTTTGTGAACATGAACAGCATGAAGAGATCCTTTGCAGGTGAAAAAAACAGCAAGTAACATGAGACATCTGGTAAAAATTACCAGAGTTGGCAACACAGTTAGTAGAAAAGGATGTCTTTTTGAAATTTGCTATAGAGTTCTACAGCAGAGACAATTCTGCAATATGGAATGAAGCTGTAGAATTTATTTTCTACTCCAGTCTACAGGATAGAGAGACCACATCATAAACATAGCAAAAATGACTAAGGAAATTAAATGGAGATCTTTCTCTTTGAAATCCTTTTTATTTATTTATTTATTTAAGACTTGACTCCAGCTACTCAGAACAGGCCTTTACTGCAGCAGGGAAATCAGCCCTGACTTTTGTAGAGCAAAATGAACAATGAAAGGAAGAAGAGGACTGAGGCATGTAACAATCTAGAGAGTCTTTACTTTGCTTTCCTTCAACTCCACAGTGCTTTAAGTCTGTTGCAGCATTTCAAAGAAGGGGGCCTTGTATCTTGTTTCTTTCTCCAAACAGAATGTCATACAGAGACTTTGATCATCACATTCCTTTAGTTTCAATTGGCATGGTTTTATAGCATAGAGTTAAATCAGACCTGCACATTGAATTCCAGTACAAAGGCATTAAGACTACTTCTGACAACTGCGTAAGGGCACTGTCCACACTCCACGGGATCTGATCACAGACACTGTAATTATAGCTAATACTAAAGAGACATTACTAATAATTCAGCTAATATTTTACAGAAGTACCAAGGTTATTTTTATGTAGCAGTTGCTTACCTGAGTTTTATGCGTATTTACCAGAGAGGGTGCAGCAGCCACCATTGAACTGCTGCGGGGTCTTGGCAAGGGAGTGATCTCTGGCTCAGGTGGTTTCTCTGGCTTTTCCTGTAGCATATGCCTCAGTCTTTGCAGATAGTACATGAGAGACCACTGTGTACCCTCCTCTGACCAATGAGGCTGCAGCAAACAGCGGAGCACAGCCACATCAAAATAAGTGGCATAGCGGGACTTTTGGCATGGCGGGATCACCACAGAAATCCTGTTATGAAAAATAAAAGCAGTCTTAGAAAATACCCTGCCCAAGGCCTGTGCTCTGTCTAGATACCCAACTGCTCTCTAAATATACACTGGTCTGTTTTAGAAAAAAGGCTAGAACTTTTATTTCCATCTCTTCTAAAGGGTTCTTTAAAACAGAGGGAAACTTGTTATGCTATGCCCCACTTTGGCAAACAGGGCAGTCACCTAGAAACCTAGGCTAATGATGCCTGCACTGGTCACTAAAAGGTTGTTTTAGAGAGAGGCAAATACAGAAGTATTCATGCTGCCCCCAAGACCAATGTGCTTTACTAGCAACTGACAGGTCAAAGAGAGTATCTTAAGGCACTCTTGCTTTCCAGGCATCTGTAGAGAAGCAACTCTGGTGCTGTTTCTGCAGCTTCTCCTGCTTGGGCTGGAAGCAATATTTGAGCCTGGAACTATGAATAATTCTGCCAACTACTTTGGACCTAATCTATTGTTTAAAATTACGTTCATGTTTAGGTGCTTTGCTGGAAAACAATTTGAACAAGTTGAAATGGAGATTTTAGGCATCTAGGTGAGTAGCTGAGTGAAAGGTTTGCAGTAAATACTGTTTGTCTCAATTCTGTCAAAGCTGTGCACTTGTAGACAGGGTGGCTAGGAAGGATGTATCCTAGACGAATGTGTTAATTTAAAACTTGAAAAACTGCTTGGTTTGCTGCCAGCATCTGTAAATGGACCTTACACAACTCCCTTAGGTCTATTTTAAAAAAACTTTGTTTTTGAAGATTGAACCCTGTATGTCAGCTTGTGTTACTACATTCAGTCTAAAAATTCATATATTTTAATGAACTAGGAAAATAGCAGTAAGGATAACATGTGATGCTACTTTTTGGTGACTTAAAAACATTTAAAAAATAAACAGAAAGTAACCAGTTGTTAAATTAAAAACACTATCAACCCTTTCCCACCAACCTGACAGTAAAGTTTTTAGCAGAAAATCCAAAACTGTATGCATAGGACAGAACCTATACAAAAGATTGGTACACAGCTCAGACAGACCAGAAGCATCCCAAGGAAAGCAATAAAACCTGTCCAGCTAGACTCTCAATGCTAGCTCAGCTGCACAGACTGGCAAGGGCTAGAGGCCAGTCTCCACTCCATGCTATACCTCTCCCTGCCTCCCTACTCAAGGGAAGGAATAAGCGGGGAATGCACTCCAAGTCCCAGTCAAGCCCAAAGGATGGGGGTGTTCTCTTTGTGAAGTACTGGCCTGGATTGCTATGACTATTTCTACAGCAGAACCAGAGACTCAGGATAAGAATGGATTTTAATATTGCAGAGGATCAGCTGAAATGAAGAACTTAAGAAACAGATAATTATCCAGCATCAGGATAAGCCTGAAAT